GGAGTAGCATCAGCATTAGCACCAAACTGCATACAGCTCATGAGAATATGACGCGACTGTCCCCGATCCCTTCGCCCCAACTAACTGCTTCAGTTACGCTAAAGTTATATGAGATGTATTCACTCAATTTCGTTTTTCGAATTAAGTATTGTTGTCGTGACTACCAATAAATCAGTAGTATGAGATGTATCCACCCTATTTCGTGTAAGGTGATTAAGGACCGATAGAAGAAGAATGTTCCAACAATGATATGAGTTGAGCTGACGTTTCTATTGAATTTCACATAGGGATAGGAAAATTCTTCTTCTACCAGTCTTTCATCATCTTAAACGAATTTGGGGGAACACATCTCATACTACTGATTTACTGGTAGTCACGAATACAATACTTAATTTGAAAAATAAAGTATAGTAGTCGATAGTTATAGAAAATATACGTTTGCTTCATCGACAATTCCACCAAAAGAATATGATATGCCAAAAAGGCCTGGCATTTCTTGAAAATTCACATTTGCTCTGCAACCCAAAATGCGTTCGTGGCAGTGCAGTCGAGTGGTTATCGTGTCAAGCTCCCATCATGCACTGTCGCGGTTCAACTCCCGCTGGGGGCGTTGATAAGACCAGTTGATGCGAGGTCGAAACTGCAGTCCACTGGTGCTTGGATGAGTACAACTTTTGGGAAGCAAGGCTATATGAAATTCAATGAAAACGTCAGCTCAACTCATATCATTTTGGGAAAATTCTTCTTCTATGAATCCTTCATCACCTTACACGAAATAGGATGGAATACATCTCATACTACTGATTTACTGGTAGTCACGAAAACAATACTTAATTCGAAAAATATGTGAAATTGAATGGAAACGTCAGCTCAACTCATATGATTGTGGGAAAATTCTTCTTCTACCAGTCCTGCATCACCTTACAGGAAATAGGGTGGATACATCTCATACTACTGATTTACTGGTAGTCTCGAAACTCTATTCTAATACGAAAATAAAGAATATAACTTACATTTGGGGCTGATGCCTGTGTTTTAGCCCAACATCGTGGGTACGCCTTGCAATGCCATTCAATGTTAATCAGCCTCGCTACCAAGATCAAAATGTTGTGGCCGCCATTTTGTTCGCAGACTCGTTTCGAAGCACAATTGTCGTTTGACAAAGTTGCAAAACAAGGTCACATGACCACTTTACTCGGCCTGTTTTTCGTTTAGAAGCAAGGTCTCAAGGCTACCAGCAAATCAGTTAAATGAGATGTATTTGCCCTCTGGTAGTAGTAGACATTAAAGTTACATGAAATAAAATCGTAAGCAGCCAAGTGGCTATAGGAAGGGACCATGCAAGAGGCATGTGAAAATGAACCAGTTTTCGAAGAATCTTTTGGCTAAGTGTGTTTGGTGCGTTTTTTTCGTAAATGACGATCTCTCGCTCTGACGATGTCTATCACGGCGGGACAGACGAAGCTCAACAAGGAGGTATCCGGCTGACAGGACGGTCAACCAAGGACTCATTCGCACAATCCAACGTTCTTCACTTCTTCCGATTCAGATTAGTGCATTTGAGGAAGTCCTTCCAGTCAACGTCTCGCTCGAAATGAGTAGTGAAGTCAACTTAAATTAATTTAAGGTATGAAAGCCAAGATGGTGTGGGCTTTTGTGTGGTCACAGTCTCCTTTCGTTGTATAGAAGTTGTTCGACCTTGTCTTCGCAACTTTGTCTGATTGGTAGGAAGACTTAGAGGAACGCACCCAGTCCGGAGTCCATTGTATGCATCACAATTTCCACAGTTGAACCGTGGAAGTGGTACATTCCCAAACATCTCGCCGGCATCGTAGTCGGCATCGTCAGTGAGTATCGCCATTCGTAGCGCCACACAACAACTCGTCAAAGAGACAAGTGAAGCCGATCCTTTGACTAAACGTGTGCTAAACAATTGTGGTATCTCCCCTTCTGCTCTGGGTTATTCGCGTTTCCGGTATCATCCTATACATGCCTTCACTATTACAATTTTACCGTGTTTATTTTGATCAACATTCCCTGCACAAGGATGAAGGGGGAGAGAACGACAGTTGGAGTGTGAAGGTTTCATGTCGCTCAAAGGAACACACCAAACTGTATCGAAATAAATAAACACGGTAAAAATTGTAATAGTGAAGGCATGATAGGATGCAACCGGAAATGCAGAAGGGGAGATACCACAATTGTTTAGCACACGTTTGGTCAAAGGATCGGCCTTACTTCTCTCTTTGACGACACTCAATGACGATGCCGGCGAAACGTTTGGGAATGTACCACGTCCACGGTTCAACTTTGGAAATGATAATGCAGACGATGGACTCCGGACAAGGTGCGTTGCTCTAAGTCTTCCTACCAATATGACCATGTTGCGAAAACAAGGTCAAACAACCTTTAAATTAGTTTAGCATATTTGCGGTTTTGTTCAGCCCTTTGGGAATCCTTCCCCGACAGATGTCATCCAACTGATAAAACTAAACCGTCCTTAAATTGTCTGTCTCAGAAGCGTTTCGATTTCGCCGAAGGAGTGGCATGCTATTGACGTCGATCTTCCAACTGGTTGTCTTTTAAGGACAGTGGCTCAGCGAGTTAGTCACTTTGGGATGAATGGAATAAAAGCGCTTGAAGAAAAAGCATCATAATCGTCACGCTTGTGCTTTTGCCGATTAGCTGCTGCCAATCTTGGCCACGTTTGATGACGTTGATATTCGAGGCCATCTTTAATATAGCATTATTAAATTGCATAATTATGTTCTCCACCTTCCTGAGTTTGTGTATTCTACTCCAGTAATTTGCACAGCTTGTTACGGTGACTTTCATTCAATGTTGAATTGCTTAATGCAGAATCTCGTGAGTCGATCTCGCCAAAAAGATGATGGCTGTTTTTTGTTAGAATAGAACAACTAATTAAAATGTGGAATTTTTAGGTCAACGCAATGTTGGTATATGAGGCCTACCGATATCAACCATTCTACTGAAGAGTTAGATATGCTGGAGAAAGGATTTTAGGATATCTCTTTTTATAAGAAATAAATGTCCATTTTTCCTTTATAAGTAGGGTTTTGAGACGACCAGTAGATGATATGTTTGAGGTATATTCATCCTTTTTTCGTTAGTGAGTAGGTTCTCGAGACTACATCGACACAACTCATATATTCATCCTGTTTTGTTTAGGATAATAAAGAGACTGCTAGTTGAATTTTCCCACAATCATATGAGCAGACATGATGTTTCACTTCAGTTTCACACAGACTTGCTTGCCTTAAAGTCATCCTCGTTCACGATGGACTGTATTTTCGAGCTTGCCTAATTGGACTCGAACCATGACAATGCAGCGTATGCGACTAAATCCCATTTGCACGAGGGCACATGTGAATTTCAAGGAAGGCAATCCCACCATAGAATGTGAAATTCACATCAGCCCTGTGACCCAAGGGCACTCGTGACAATGTGGCGTGGTGGTTAACCTGTTGAAATCATAGGCGGTAGTGTCATGGTTCGAGTCCCGCTGGGTCTGTCCAAAAGCGAGGTTTTGGGACTTTCTTGGGTTGGGGTTTTTAAGTTCAACTGAATTGGTTTGTTTGGTACGCTTTTATGCAAACCAACAAAATTACACACCAATTTACGTGAATCCAATTATGCGATTCTTTGCCTACAAATTATATTTCTAGTAAATAGTGTGTTTTATTTTTAGAGCAACTAAACCAATTATGATCTCACCTCAAACCCGAATAGAGTGTACTGAGGCGAGGTCGAAATCACAGCCCACATTAGTAGGGATAAGAATAGCTTTTGGGAAGCAAGGCTATGTGAAAATCAATGGAAACGTCATATCTGCTCATATGATTATGGGATAATTGAGCTATCCTTATCACCTTATCGTCCTAAATGAAATATGATGAATATACCTCATACAATAGATTTTTGGACGGAATCTATTTTAGCAGAACCAGGCAGTCTGAGAACTTTTCTGTTGTCATCACTACCGTCATGGCTTCTTTCCACGAGGAGAGGCAAACTGGTGACAAAGGAGTGGATAAAAACAATGTTCACATGTACCTCGGCTATTGAGAGTATCGTCGAGGGAGGCTCAGGTTGAAGGATTCCGGTAATTTGACCTCCCGACCTTCGGAATTTTTAATACAGCTCATAAGTTCTCAGTAAACGATGTCCTGTGCATCCGGATGCTCTTCACAAATGCTCTCACTTGGCCTGGACATTCAGGACTGATTGCCTTGACAGTTGCTAGACCGGTTCTGGTGAAATGCCATCTTTCCTGTTTCTCCACAGTTACCTTCAATTCGAACGGTTGTAGCCATGACGCAGGCCTTTAGACATGATCATGATGGCGTCCGGCCTACTTGTCTGTGGGTCTTCACTCTCGATATTGCTGATCTCGGCTTTATCTCCGCCACGAGTACAAAGATGGAAAGAGACACACTTGCAAACAAACACACCTATCTGACCGCACATATCGTTTCTGAGGTGAAAGCTATCTTGCAGTTTGGCCACACATGCTCACTTCAAAGCCCAAGTCCCGCCAGAGAGCAAGTGTTGATTCACAATGCTTGTCCTGACGCTGCCGAGGCCGCTATCCGAAGTCACGAAGGAGGTATGCACTTTCTGCAGAGAGAACCACTTTATTAATTACCGTCTTGACGGGATATGAGCCAAGCAAGGCCAAGCCACAGGTCTAGCTATACTTGCATGTGTTCATACGTACGTGCGCGATTGTTTGATCAGTTTTGTTGCGACATTTTATGTTAAGCTCACAGCATCCACACGATGTTCGGCAAGCCTGACACGAATAAAACACTGCCTGCTTATTAGCGGTGATCACACCATTGCCTCTTCCTTCCGTTTTGACCACTTAGCTTATGCAAACACGATTTGTGCAGGTACAGAAATTTGGTTCTTAAGAACAATAATGAAGTACATCACCACTCAACACTTCTCTATTCTTAAATACTAACTACTCATTCTTCTCTCTTGTCATTTGTTAATGAGCATATGCTTTTTGTGCTTATCATCAAATTGAAATAAGAGTCTCTCTATGCATTGTTCAGCCCTGTTGAGGTGTGATTTTGAGCTCTTCCAGAGCAAAGAGGCATATGCCGTAAGGAATACTTTGTGGGATGTGTAGTATTACCCGAAAAGTCAGAAAAGAATCTTTTATTTAGTGGCGTCTCCAGCACCTCCGTATTCCTTGACCGCTGAACAAACTGATATTCATACGAAGAAAAGTTGGGTTTCGAGGAATCTCTTGTTTCGTTGTTGTTGAAGTTATTCCATTTCGAGTGAAAGTTTTGCGTGAAGAGATTCGAAGGTCGGTTCCACCAGAAGACGACGACGTAGTTTTCCTGACTCGGCTTCAATTTGGTTGTGACGATGTTACCTCGCTCTGATGATGCCCATCATGTGACGGACGAAAGCTTATCACCTTTTCACCGGAACCGAAGGAGAGTGAATGTTCCAGTAAAGCCAATCGACAGCTGGTCAAGAGGAATCGGCCGTCGTCTTCTGGTGGAATCTCTTCACGCAACACTTTTACTCGAAATGGAAGTAAGCTCAACAAGTGTGATTGTGCCAAAGTCAAAGATAGGGCCATCCAATCTATTAATGGACATACGAAGGCTTTTTGTAATAGGTATTGCCAACTTTCATAAAATCACAACAAAAAAACAGTTTGCAATACTACTTACATCTACTGATGATCCCACTTACAGCAAAATAAAGCATATCATGGCTTACATGCATGGGGAAAAGCGATGTTTATAAGGATCCCCTATTGAGTTAATATCTCCATACTTGTTCTTTCAAGGGGAAGGAGGCTTGAAAAGAATTCGTAAATTGGGCCCACCGGAAGCCAGAGATATCTTTTCAGGCAAGTAAGGGCGATTGCAATCAGGGCAAAGACCAACTACGTTTAGTCTTTGAATATATAATGGCCTTATGGAAAAATATTGTCGTCATCCCTCAAATCGCACTGACAAAGCAATTTGTGATAGTGGCCATATTTACGGATCATCACCCCAATCACATCATGCAATTGCTCACGAATAAATGCATACACAAGAGCCGTTTTGATGAATTGGTCAGTAATTTATTGTCAAGAGGCAATTCATTTCAATGAAAAACTTGACAAGAAGACATTCGTAAAATTGTTCTCACCGCAAAGGAAGGGAAGCTTGATTAAATGCGAAGAAAAGTTGTGTTTCGAGGAATCTCTTGTTTGATAATTGTTGAGCTTACTTCCATTTCGAGTCAAAGTGTTGCGTGAAGAGATTCGAAGTTCGGTTCCACCAGAAGATGATGGGGGATTTTTCTGGACCAGCTGTCGATTGGCTTTACTGC